GGAGCGGCGGGAGAGGTCTGTCGTGCCATGTGGGCCCCTCGCTGGTGGCCGTGGATCGAACCGGCGCTGCAGAGGCTGCAGGCAGCTTTGCAGCCCAGCGCTCAACCACTGCGCCACCAGGGGAGGACCAAGAGCATGTTTTGCTACAAGTTACATCCTCATTTTTTATGATCTAGAGCAATGGTTTCAAAGTATGGTTCCAGGACCAGTAGCAGCTAGTGTCCCCTGAGAACTTGTTAGAAACACTTGGCAGGAATTCAAATTCTTAGGACTCACTCAGCCCTATTGAATCAGAAATTCTGAGTGTGCAACCCAATAATCTGCACTTTCACAAGCTTACCAGGTGATTCAATATACACCACAGGATAGGCTGAAGGTTAGGGAGAGCTAAATCCTCAGGTTAAAGTTATCATTGCCAACAAGAGAGAAGAATGAGGCTTGCTCCAACTCTCACTGATTTCCCCCATCCAACCTGGTGGGCAAGTCACAGATGCATATGTTTACAAGAGCAATATAAGATTCTGATGGCAATTCAAGGCAATGACAAAAGAGGTATGACAAAGACATTATTGCCAAATGCTTTCCTTTAAATCTCTTCTGTACCCCGAGTTTCCACCACCAAAGTCAAGCTCTTCTATTCTTTTCTCACTGCTGATGAATTCTAAGCAAAGCAAAGCTTTTGAAGATGATGAATGCAATAATTATTGCAGTTTTATAATACTCTAGGCCTTGGAAAAACTTTCATATAAATGACATTATTTCATCTTCACAATTCTACTATAAAGCCTACCCTATTGGAAAATTTGCATGTCACTTTAGAACCTTCTAATAAAATCCCTAAATTCATAACCATTTTTTGAGTGTATACAATGTGAGACACTTTTACATAAAATAATTTTTATCTCATACAATTCTGCAATTTGTCCCAATATAGCAAATATACATGACTTAAGAATGCAGAAAAGGGGCCTCCCTGGTGGAGCAGGAGGTTGAGTGCAGCGCTGCGAAGCTGTCCGCAGCCTCTGCAGTGCTGGTTCGATCCCCGCTGGCCTCAGAGCAACCCACATGGTGAGCATACCTCTCCTGTCTTGCCCACTGCTCCCCTCAGCAGTGTATTTTGTCAGTCTGCCTGTTCTGTTCCCCGCTCTATCTCTGGTGAATCCTCTCCTCTCACCCTCCCACGCATCTGGCCTGTACCCCTGCTCTTGTATATATATAAAAAAAATCTTAAAAAATGCAGAAAATGTTAAAGCATATACCATAAAATTACATTATAAGGAAACATTAAATATTTCATGAAATATGTTAAATTGTGTATGAATTTAATACTTGGTATTTTTACAAAATGGATGATATTGTGAGGAAAAAAGCATTCATTTTCCAGTAGTAAAGATAAAGGGAGGAGAATGAAAATACATGGCTTCAAAAATTCCTTTCCTTCTACAGTTCCTATAATATCTGAACAGTTATTTTTTTATTTCCTGAAAAATATAAGGCTATATTCAAACTTGGAATAACTCAACAGGACTTGTAGGTGTTAAAGCATGATAATTATTCTATAACCCAGTAGAAGTGGTACCAATAAAATTCCCTTATTCTTGTAGATGTCCTTGCCCTCTTCCCCTTGATAGGTGGTTTCTGTGGGACTCAAATGTTTCAACTACATAGATTTCCATGTCATGGCTAAAGCCATTTGAAAAGGTCATGTTTTATTGAATATGTAGTACAGTTTCAGTTTGGAGGGACTCATAATTTTTATGATCACTCATGGGACAGATCTTCTTTTGTAGAGCATTCTTTGCTAGTAAATGGATTCTCTGCCAAGACTAGGCACAAGTCCAGTCTGTCCATGACAGTGCAGACTCCCTAACTGTGGGATTATTCACCTCATTGCAGATTCATAATTGTAGAATTATCCACATCACTATTTCATCAAAGCAGCTGATCTTCAAGATCTACAGAAGCATTAAGCTTTTAAAGAGGTAGTGACAACTTGATCTACTGGTTATGTGGCACTTCTCCCTCAGATTATCAAATAAATCACCTAAATTTACTTATTGGTCTGGAGCATTATCTGTCTTGGGTATAGAATCTCAGAGCAAAAGGAAGAAAACATAAGTGAGCCATCCTTGAGGATTACTCATTTCTGCCCTGGCCTTCCAGTTAGGTCACAAGATTTCTCTCAGATTAGCTCAGGAGCAGTCCTGGGAAGCACCAGGATTTCTAGAACCATAGGAAAGTAAACACCTCAATTTAAAATTGTTCTTAGGGTGGCCTCAAGTGATATTTGGCTGCTTTAACCTGTGGGCATTCTTCCCTTTCACAGAAATAAAAGTCATTCCAGGCAATCCTTTCCAATCAAACTCTGTCTTTCTAACCTAAAAAGATTATTTCAATAAGGGAAGTCAAAGCTTTATGAGATTTGTAAGATTTGTATGTGTCAGAATTGCTATCTTCCTGTTCATTTTAATGCTTTGCAAACTATCCCCTATGAGAATCATGCAAATCATTGTCTTATAGTCATTAAAAAAAAACACCTCATTTCAAAACCATGACTTCTTCAAAACTGAGTCCTCAATCATTGTGGTTTCCAAAAAATCATGGGGCCCATTGCTACACTGCTTCTGACTCTACACCCATATGTACTTAAGTTTCTACCAAAATATTTTTATGATAAATCAATTTGCTAGCACTGAAAGGTATAAGTGCCTCACAATCATTAAACAAATATAGTCTTGATTTAGCATAATCAAATATAAAGGGAATATTTCCAAGTACTTTTGCCATTTAGCCAAGTCTTAATCTTCATCAAATTGCCTTAACACTTCAGATTTTATATTTAACATAATCAATTTTTTTTAAAAAAGTGAAGCAGAACCCAAGGGAAGCAGGAATAAGGAAAGAAGTAGGAGATAGAAACATTCATAGGTATAAGTTCATCTGAGAAATAAAATTCTAACTAAAATAGTTAAGCAAGATGGCTACCTGCCATTCAAATATCCCAGAGTCACAGAAAATTCAAGCCAATGTGAAGACGCTATGTTGATTCTGTGGCAACTTAGGCTCCTCATCCATTATGGCAGCTCATCTGTAACAGCTGAAGGCTCTAAGCTAACATCAAAATCTTTTTGAAGGTCAAACATAGAAAAGCGTCATGATGAGAAAGAGGAATTCTGTTTAGAATGAGAAAATTATCTCTGACAAGAACCTCTTAAAAACTGAAAACACAGGCCTCCCCTGGTAGCGCAGCGGTTGAGCACTTGGCGTGAAGCTGCCCGCAGCCTCTGCAGCACCGGCTCCCCAGCCACCGGCGAGGGTCCCACATGTCATAGCAGACCTCTCCTGCCGTGCCCGCTGCTCCCCTCGGCGGTGTATTTCGTCAGTCTGCCTGTTCTGTTCCCCACTCTAGCTCTGGTGAATTCTCTCACCCTCCCGTGCTTCTGACTGTACCCATTGCTTGTATAAATAAAATAAATAAATCTTATAAAAAAAAAACTGAAAACACTGCCAGATATGCAAAGAACACACATCAAGACAAATGTGATCCCTAGGTTTAAAATGAGCCCTATACTGGTTGTTACTACACACAGCAAAGGTACCAATGCTTTCCATCTCATGGGTTCCCAATCCCATTTCCAAAAAGTTTAAATCCAACAAGACTAGCCTATCACCAGAAACTATCAGGAATGTTGGGTCATTTTTCAATCAGTTCTGGTTAGCTGACTCTTAATTGTTGGGGTTCAGGTCATTAGTAAGACCATGAATTTATGGACTAAAGCTACTTTAAAATGCTAATTTAATGCACTAGAATAAATGTTCACATATCAAATATTTGGAAAATTAAACAGACACAGGTACAAACAAAAGCAGGTCATGCTTTTCCATGTATATACCTTATACAATATATTTATGTGTGCTGATAACATTTATGTGGGCATATTTCATGTGTCCATATGTAGTTGTACCTGAAATCTCTGTAAGATTTGGTCAGCCCTCAAATAGGTCTTAATTTCATCTCCTGGAGTCTCACTTAGCTTTGTTATCTCCAAGAGTAAGAACTCAAAATAACTGATAAAAGGCCACTGACACTGGAACAACATGAAGGATGTTTTGGTGACTGCCCTTGAATTATTTTACTAGATGCCTTTTCCCTGCATTGGATCAACAGAGACCTTCCAAGTTTAAGAAGCTATACAAGTACATATTTGTCATAATTCACTGTTATGCATCAGTAAATGCTTGATTCTTTTGGACTTATTAATACTTAAAAAAAAAAAGTCTGCTGCCAACACCTGACTCTGGAATCTAATAGGAGGTGGTAACAGGATTGCAATTCCAAAAAATAGAAGATTCCCATTGTCTGGAATGGGGAGCTGGTGGGACTTTTGCTTTCATATCCACAGCACAACAGCAAAGTTTTTCATATGTGCAGATGATAACCAATTATGTTTATGTATCATCATTATAGAGTACAAAGTAGACAAAAATCCAAGCTAATTCTTTCTTATTTTTCACTACATACAGTCATGTAGTATGCAAATACAGGCAGAAAAGTCTGGTCTAAATGCCACATCCATCCCCCAATAGTTGACAAACATTAATGAACTTTTTCACAAGTTGGCTTATTGATGTGAAAATTTTCTTAGAGACCTAAGGTTTCCTTCCAAAATGCAAAGATGACAATGATTGTGCTATTAGGAAATCACATGCAGCCTGTTACCTGCTTAAGGGAGAAATATTTCCTTTGAGTCTAACAGATTTAAGATACCTGAGAGAGTTGGGTGCGTTGAACTTTTAGCAAAATCCAGTACTAAAAGAGCTAATGCATTATTTTGCTTTATTTATGAGGAAAAAGCAGTCTGCTTGCAATTTGTAACATACTGATAAAGCAAAATACAAATGATTTTAGGAGAAATTTTCTCATATGAACGTCACTTTAACTAGAGTGCAAGAAGCCTAGAGAAGGTAGTTGCGGTTGAATCTGCCTTTGCTGGCATTACCTGAATAGAGGTCAGGCCCAGGCCCTGGGGAGCGCCCCACAGCTCTATCAGCAGCAGCATCTCTGGGGGAAGTGGCCGACTGCAGGGGCTGCATAGTGAGGCAATCGGTGAGCAGTTCAGGATGAAGTTCTGCGCTGGACCGCAACTAAGAGAAGGAGAAAAGAGGAAACAGATGGAAAAGGAAAGCTGTTTTTGGAATACTTTCTTGGAAAGGCATGTGCCCTAAGGGTCAATGCAATTCAATCCACAAAAAATTATCAAGCACCAGCTATGGGTTAGGCATTGGACTAAATTGAGAGGCAATAAAAGGGTCAGTTTTCCAATCCTAATAATGCTTGGCAGGTGCTTCAGGAAAAATGTGACTAGAGGCAGGTTTGACTTTAGTCCTTGATATTTTCACTTCTGGGAACCCAACTTCCTATTACATGTCCTTTAATTTGATCTGTATCTTATCAGAACTTGTAGTGATAACAAAAACAAACTCAAATATATTTAGTCCAGATTGGAAAGTGTTTTAAAAAATTACCATGAAATATCTCAGTGGTAATTAAGAAATGTCCATTGAGATTTGATGCCTATAGATTTAACATAAGAGGAAAATACACAAGTTAAATTTTAAAATATTATGGAACATGAAAAAAAAACAACAATGTCATTTAGCAGCAACAAAATCCCAACAGCAAGATAAATGAAAATACAAACAATTTAGATCTTTATTTTATGTATCACAATAATAAATTTCAGTTTTTATATATTAAAGTGTTCGATGTAAAAAACGCAAGCCATAAAAATGTTAGAATAAAGGACAGGTAAAAAGTTATCTGATATCTTTATAAACTTTTTTTGTAGTGTAAAATTCAAATGGAAAAAATCACAATGGAAGATTTAGTTACATAGAATATTAACTCTCTGCTTATATACAAATACCTTAAAAATCTAGAAATATATTTGTTACAGATATTGCAAAAAGATTTCTTCAGTATTTAAAGAGAGCATATGTATTGATTTTTTCTTTATAAAGATATAACTAAACCAAAAAAAAAAAAGTACAGAAAGGCATTCTTTTTTATGTGTGTGTGAAATAACGAAGAAAGTTGCAAACTGATACCAAAGGTCCTGTGTTCCCTTCACTCATTTCCTGCAAAGGTTACACATATATATGCAATGTTAGTCTAAATGACACTGGTAAAATGTAGAACTCTGTGTCATTTCATCACATTTGTAGATTCCTGTAACTGCCACTGCAATCAAGATACAGAAATATTCCATCACCACAAAGAACTCCCTCAAGCTACCCCAACCTAAACCCTGCAGATCTCAGGTGTTTTCTTCTTCAACAACAAAGTAGTCCTAGATTCATATGTGTTGATAAATGAAAATATACCAGCTATGTTTTAAAAGATGAGGGGGAAAATCCTACTAAATTTTCCAGTCACCTGCATTATGAAATTGTGATGACTTTTTTGCCTTTTCATATGTCTTTATTTTCTATGTGTCCATTTTTTTTTATTTGCCAGAGCAACTACAGCAAAATAGTACAGATTGGACAGCTTAAACAACACAGGAAGCCATTCTTGAACACTATTGGTAGGAGTGTACATTGCTACAAACTTTTTAGATGCTATCTGGGAACATTTTTTCAAGACCTATAATTAAAGTCATTTGATCTTAGAATCTGAAGGAAATAACCAGCAAAATGAAGGAAGATTTGTCAATGATATCAGACTGACAGCTTAAAATTGATCACGATGAGAATATTCACACCATGGAAATTAGCAAATGCTACACATCAGGCTTTTCCATCAGAAAGCAGGTTGTTATACACTACCAGCACACCACCACCAATGACTCAGACACACACACACATGGCATCAGTAAGTTACTGTTTAGAGAGTGTTATTTCTTGGATTTCAAAAATTTCATAAAGTGACAAACATATGTCCAGGTCCTAGTCCAAAAATATGAAAATGGCACCATGACCCTAGGAAGAAAGAAGGAACATTTAACAAGTGTAGTGAATGAGACATAATTACAGTATAATTTCCTCAGTATTGCCACACTGGAATCTCTGTCCAAGACTATCTGAGTTAATGCCTAACGTTCTCAGGGCATTTGGAAGGTATGTTTGTTATTTTGGTACTAACAAAACACATGCTGCATAAGAAAAACTGGAAAAAAATCAAGGCTTAGAATGAGTTCTGGTGATCACTTTTAATTTATCTTCCATCATTAAAATGTGATCTGGGGCCCACATGTTCTACTAAGCACAGACATGAACGTCTTTCTGCTTTCTATTACCAACTACTCTAGGGTTTTACAGTTATCGGTACTGATGAGGTCTTCCAAGGAATTTCATGGCCCATGGTTACTCCTGGAGTCAAAAGGAGGCAATTCTTCCTTAGCTTCAACAAGTATTCATGTTTTCCAAGAGTGTGATTCCATACGACTTTGTGGTGAGAGTTAATTTGGTTTTCTCTGGGATTAGGCATGGTTCTAGAAAGTGCTTCTTAAATTGGACAAGCCTGTAGGACCTTATGTAAAATTTCCAAAGGAGGGCCATATGTATAGAAATGCAGTAATGATATGTAAGTTTAGTATCCTTTTCTCCCTCCAGATTATAAGACTCCAAAAGGGGCTTCCAGATTATTTACGGTTCTTAAACATTTTCCAGTCCAGGAATTATCTCATGGGTGACAAAGGAGGCACATTGCAGAATCTCCTGAGAAGGATATCTTTCAATATAATAGTTTTACATTTGGAGAGGAAAACTCAACTATTTCTATAAAACAAATTACAAAATATGGATTTCAATAACATCTGAGTCCATGAACATAAAAAAAGAGAGGAACACTTTTTAGTGAAATATTAAATGGTCTTAAACTGTAATTCTCAAGACTGTGCATATATCAGAATCACCTTGTGCCCCACCCCAGAACTGCTGACTCTGTTGGTCTGGGATGCACTTCTAACAACTTCTCAGATGATGACATATGCCTTTCTGCCTGGACCATGCTTTCAGAGTTACTGGTCTCCAGGAATCCTGATAAGGTGAACTATAAATTTTCCGGTTATGGGAAGAAGAAATGATTCTGGGAATAAGGAATAATAAAAGCCAAACTGTTTTTAAAACATGATCCACATGTAACCATTTCTTATTGTCTTTCTTCAGATCTCATAATAATAAATGGGTGCCTGAGATTCATGTTTTATAAACAATTTAAACATCGATCTTCTTTCCAGAAATAAATGGGTTAATAATTTTCAATCCAGCTTAATTTAACCTGCTCTTTAGGAGACAACAAAGAATTTATACTCGATGAAGTCTTTATTGCTCATTATGAAAAGAAGTGAAATTTAAACTTATGGATCATCAATTTGTCTGTTAAAAGTGCTGCTATGTTGCACATACCAGAGACTTCTATTTACACTGCAATTCATGGCTCTTAGTCCCTGTGCAGTAGGGAATCCTTGTAAGGTCTGCTTTTGAGGAGACTCACTTCATCCCCTATTTTTATCCACGGTCTTATAGACCCTTTGCTACCAGTTCTTAGAGATTCCACACAAGCTCTGAGGTAGGTATACACTGGTGGTTAATCTGTATCAACTGGCCTTGAATTTAGTACCCAATTATTCAAACACACACTAGTGGTTGCTATAAGGAATTTTGTCAATGGGGTTAACATCTATAGTCAGTTGACTTTAAGTAAAGGAAATCATTCTCTGTAATTTGTGTGGGTCTCAGTCAATCAGTAAAAGGCCTAAGAGCAGAAAAAAAAATCTAAGCTCTCCCAGAAAAAAAAAGTTTCTTCTCTGGAATCAGCTCCTACCAGCCTACAGTCTGATTTGCTAGCCCCCGCAACCATACAAGCTAATTCCTTAATCACTGCACCTCTCCTCTCCTCTCCCCATATATTTCCTACTGGTTCTGTTTCTCTCAAAAAGGCTGACTGATATAGATTCTATTAGCGTGTAAAGTCACTACCATGGGATGATCATTTCAGGTCAGGAAGAAAATAGCATCATGCAGGTGCATCCAGCAGAAAAGGACTGGTGTTCATAGTTAGCATTCTTTAAAAGACTGCATTTCAATTCAATAATATATATACTGTGCCTAGTGCTGGGTGCCTCACAACATCCCTGTGAGGTGAATACTGTCATGATTTCCAATTCAAAGATAGGAAAGTTAGAAAAACCCAGCTAGTAAGGGTGAGGTTTAGATTCTATGTGTCAGAATCCAAATTCAGGCTTTTTGATGTCACATAAAATTGGTACTGGCTTAAGAAATAACTCAACCCAAACTTCCTACCCCACCACTCCACACACACTCACATGCTTCTAATTTCCTCTCAAGATTTTATATTTTAGTCCAGAGTCTATCATTTATATTTTGGCCTAGCAGGGGAAAGAGTTTCTCTGCGAGCATTCGTAGCATGTCTCATTACCACTGGGTAGATTCTGACACCATGCTCTTAAGGAAAAGGATTTTTGTTGTTGCTGAAGCAGAGATGGGGCAACAGAACAAACCACTGCAGTTTGGTTCTCAGTGTCTGCCCCCCCTAGATTGGACCTCATTCGATCCTGTGTAAGTAATATGAGTATCTGCAGTTGAGAAAAAAAAAAGCATGATGCACGTTATTCCTTAAGATCTGCACCCTAAGTACATGCACAGGACACTGAATTAAATGATCTTAACCACGGGTGTCCACTGCAGTATCCCTAAGAGGGGACACCTCACTTTTCTTTTTCTTCTGATTCTCTGATACTCTACTAGTCCCTTGCATCCTCGTCCTCTTCCCCTGCCTTCCCTGATGTTCTCTTTGGTTCTCAGTCCTGTCTCTGTGGAACTCAAACTCTGTGAGGACTCACAGCTCTGTGTTTTCCAGGCTTTTAGATGGGAGGTCAGGGAAGTCTTCTGCACAGGATGGATATTATGATGAAGTGACAGGGCAGGACATGCAGCAAGAACATTTCATGTAAATGGAACAAAAAAGGAAAGAAGTTGAAGGAGGAAAACAAGCTTATGGATTCTGAAAAGAGCTACCTGAAGAGAAATAAGCAAGGGAACACAGGTAAGGATGTAGGGCAGAGGGCCAGAGATATAGGCAGAGGTCAGGTCATGTCTACTCTCTGACACATGAAGATTTA